GCTAGATATATCTCGTTGGCTAGGGAATAGAATGAATAAGGACAGAGCTGTTCTTGTCCTAACAGCATGTTGTATCTACTTGTTTAAAGGTAAAGTGTACTTGTGACGAGGATACGAGGATGTATTAGTAGCATTATAGTTTTAAGCTTCTCGTGAAGCTGCTAATATAGTCTCTAAGCCAAGGATAAAATATCGCCTATTTAATCTCTGGATTCATGTTGAGGAGTAACTAACAATCAAGATTATAGAAAAAATCTATTCGAATCATATCTTCTTTGAATGCGACGTTTGCACCTCGTCTGAATGGAAGTGATCGATATAGGATTGTACAGGGTGTTTCGCTATAAATTGACTCTCCTGAAGCCCTCTTGTAAAGCCATTTAGAGGAAGATGTTTTGCAGAAAAGTTGTAGGGCCCAAGCCTAACATGCAAAACCTTTTTGTCTTCAAATTGGACACCCGGTATATCTTTTGTTTAAATGAGAGTCGTTAATATATTTGGCTATAGCTTGATCAAACTCTTTTGTGCGTCATTAAATCATGTATATACGAGGTCTGTAAATTAAGTGATGAGACTGGCAAAGTAGCGTTCGATCTGGCAATACTGGACGCGCCGGGCTTTGGAGGTAAAGCAGGAGAACACTGACCCACCTTCAATGCAAGTTTTAACTCGCTGGAGTTAGTTAGTTGCGATCTTTTGGGAAAACAGGTTTTTCTATTGTGTTCTAAAAGTGAGTGGCATCAATTTCGAGCAAGGTGTGTTATCAAGTTTTGCTTCAGACTTGGGCATAGTGCAACGGAAGCTCTTGCTAAACTCAAGTAGGACGAGGGAGATAGTATTTTGTCAAGAGCCTTGGTTTTGCGATGGTTTAAGGCATTTTCATAAGGGAGAGACTCGATCGAAGATGAATCACGAAGCGGAACGGCTTCATCTTCATGCACCGATGAAATTATCGACAGAATCCGGATCTTGTGCACTCAGATCGTCGGTTGACAATCGGAATGATCGGGGAATAGTTAAATTTTGAAACATTCCTGTGATTCATCAGACTCCTTATTTGTTTGACTTAAGTCCTTGTGACTTTTTCTTTTCTCGAAGCTGAAAAATGATCTCAGGGGAACTCATTTTGGGGCAGTCGAAAACGTTCAGACGTAAGTAACCGTCCAGTTGAAGGCTATTATAGTATCGGAGTTAGGAAGCTATTTCGAGGGTGACAATAAACAAATGTAATCATATCTTATCAAAAAAAAAATAAAAAAGTCAGTCTCATCACTTAATTTACAGACCTTGTATATTATCCGAGTTCAATCCAGTTTGTATCTAGCTGCCTATGCAATGTGGTATGGGGCTGGATACATATGAATAAATCAGACATATATTTTAAGTGTTTGCTTGAAGTAATGGAAATAAGCCTGACAAACCATGTATATTCAGAATCAGTTTTTTTTTTTTTTTTTTTTTTTTTTTTTTTTTTTTAACGAGGGGGGAATGCATTTACGCACCATACCATAGCACGAGCTACGACGTGTGTGGGGCTCCAGGGTCTTGAAGAGATCACCTAATACCCACTAAACCCTAAACCTCCGCGTGGCCCGACTCATCAGCGTCTCGGTAGGCCATGTGTTGTGCGTGACCTGCGGTCTGCTACAACGTCTCCTCATGTGTTTCAGTCTCTGGGAACGCCGGGTTGGTTCCATTTACCTCGCACATTCTATCGATGTCGTTAAGCGATCATCGATAGAGGGTCTGCTAGTTTCTCTTGAAACTCTTGTTTTCGAAAAATCAAGAGTTTCAAGTCCTCTTACCAATATGTTGTTCCTGGTCCTGGTCCTGAAGGGTCATGGTCCTGGTGGGTCCTGGTCGTGGCGGGTCCTGGTCCTGGTTGGTCCTGGTCCCGGTGGGTCCTGGTCCCGGTGGGTCCTGGTCCCGGTGGTTCCTGGTCCTCTGCATCCACGCCGTGGGGGGGGGGGAGCAGCCGCAAATTCTCCTAGTCTCCTAGTCAAGGTTCCAGTTAGCGGGTGCCAGCTGGGACCTTGGTCTGGGGTACCTGGTTCTGCGGTTGCGAGGCCTCTCGTCCGGATCGTAGTCCATGAGGAATCGTAGCTGCCCGTTCGGGTGGTCCTGAGCTTTCTCGAAGGTCTTCTCCGCTTTTTTCCTCATGTACTCGTGGTTGGTATCCCAATGCAGGTCTCTACGCAAGGTTGAGTTCCTTACGTAGGAAGGTGCATTGGTGGCGATCCGGAGTAGCTTCATCTCTAGAGCAGCAAGTCGCTTGCGGTAGCTGGGGGCAGCGTACCCCCAGACCGCGGAGGCGTAAGCGAGCTGAGGTCTGGCGATGGCCTTGATCAGCCGTAGCTTGGTCGCTAGCGGCATCTGGCTGTGTCTACCCAGTAATGGATAGAGTTGAGCCATGGCTGCTCTGGTTTTTGCGATGACAGCTTCTATGTGCGCTTTCCAAGTGAGGTACTTGTCAAAAACGATCCCCAGATATTTGACATTGTCGCTCCACTGGATATCTTCATCGAAGATGGATGCTTCGAGAGGTCTTGCAATCCTTCTTCGTTGAATGAAGATTGCCTGCGTCTTCTGGACGTTGATGCGGATTTTCCATTTCACGCACCAGTCCTGAATTTGGTCCAGTTCACCCTGTAGTCTCCTACGGATGATCTCGGGTCGTCTATGCTTGGCGGCTATAGCAGTGTCGTCTGCATATAGGGCCAGCATTGTGTCAGCTGTCTTCGGCACATCGTAAGTATAGATGTTGTAGAGCAGGGGGGCTAAGGCTGACCCCTGGGGCACGCCTGCTTCCAGCTGACGTCTTGTTGAATGGCATGTACCAATCTTCACCGTGAACCATCTTTGTGTTAGATAGCTCTGGATTAGTTGGCACATGTTCGCATCGATTCCGGCGGCTTCCATTTTGGCGATGAGTCCATCGTGCCAAACTCGGTCGAAGGCTCGTTCCACGTCCAGCAGGACGAGACCGGTTGCCTCCTGGAGATTGAAGCCGCTGGTGATGTTTTCTGTCAGTCGTAGCGCTTGGAGTTCCGTGTTGTGCGAGGATCTGAAGCCGAATTGCTCTGGGGGGAGAAGTTGCAGTTCTTCTGCCTGCTTCTCTAGTCGAACGGCGATAGCCTTTTCGACTACTTTGCCCATCGAGGAAACCAGGCTGATGGGCCGGTAGTTCTGGGGCAACTTCCGGTCCTTGCCTGGCTTGGTGAGCATTATAACCTGGGCTTCCCGCCACCGCCGCGGGAAGTGGTTAAGTCTCAGGGTGGCATTGGCGATGTTGGTGAGCGCAGCAATGCCTTTGGTGGGAAGGTTCTTCAGCATCCTGTTGTTGATGCCGTCCCTTCCCGGCGCCTTTCTGACCTTCAACCTGCGGATGATCAGACGGATTTCCTCTGGACTGGAGGGGTGATCCGTCTCCTGGCCAGGTGGTCGACTCCTCATGTTTTCAGCTGCGACTTTCACGGCCTCCTCGTGGTTGTCGTCCTCGTCTTCATGGTAATTGAGTCTGCATTCGGATTCTAGCGAATCGGTGAATGCTTCGGCTTTTTCTTCACTGGAGTAGGCCAAGCCGCGTTGGCCGTGAAGAGTGGGGATCGTGGTGCGCTGACGACGAAATTTTCGCTGCATAGACCAGGCCGTACCATCCTGGGTCTCTAGTTCTGCACAGGCTGCATTCCATCTGTTGTTTTGGAGTTCCGCGAGTGCGTTCTTCAGAGCTAACGATGCTCTGTTTCGCGCAACTCTCGACTCCTCTGTCAACAGCTGGAGATGTTCTCGCTTGAGTCTTCTGTTCTCCCTGATCAGGTGCCTAATATGGTGCGGTGCTGGACCATTTAGGTGTCTAGGAACTGCCGTAGTCTCGGAGCGGGTGCTGTCCTCATGCGCTCGCAGGACAGCATTCTCCAGCTCCTCTACTGCGTTGTCCAGTTCCTCCGCTGATCGGATGGTTGGAATTTGAGTTATGTTCCTTTGGACGTTGGATTTGTACAGGTTCCAGTTCGTCCGTTTGGTGCTCAAGCTATCTCGAGTTCTAGACCCTGTGCCAAGTGTTAGTAGAATCGGATTGTGGTCCGACGATCCTTCCACCAGGGTCTCTATCTCGAACTCCTCTCTGATGTTGCGGAGGATGGCTATGTCCAGTACCGCAGGTCGCCCAAGGCCGAATGGAATGTAGGTTGGTTGCTCCGGACCGACGATGACCCCCGCCAGGGCATCGACGTGTTCCTGGAGCTGCCTTGCATTCCTGTCTTCGACGTTGTTGTTCCATGCCGGAGACTTGCAGTTTAGATCTCCGATGACTATGCGTGCTCTTGGGCCTCTCAGGAGGTCAGCGATGTCATCTTCGTCTAGGGCCTCCCCTGGTGGCACATATAGGGAGGTGATTCTGTAGGGACGGTGGTCGTGATGGACCTGGACCGTGATTCCGTCCCCATTTATGTCTGCGGCATCGTCGAGGACATGACTCGTCAAGGTACGTTTGACGAGTAATGCGACTCCTCCACCTCTGCCCCTTCTGTCGTAGCGGTACGTCTCGTACCGCGGGAACGTCAGACTATGGGCAGCATCCAACTTCGTTTCTTGGATGGCCATCACCTCTGGTTGGTACTGGTCTAGTATCTCCTGGATTTCGGGTTTCCGTGCCCTGAATCCGTTGATGTTCCAGGAGATAATGCGTAGAGATTCTACGTTTTGACCTGTAGACATTTCGGGTCTAGTGCTTGTCTTGCATCTTGGCCTCGAGTGCATCCAGGCGGGTTATGATGGCTTGCATCATTGCTAGCAGTCTGTCATCGCCGTGTTGCTTCTGCGCAGTAGTTCCAGTAGCAGTGGCGGCTGCTGGGGCAGAAGTGGACATAGGCTTCTTCGCTTTTTGAGCGTAAGAAGTCCTATTCGTGGTGGGGACTGCTTTGGGGGCAGAAGCAGCTTTCTTCGGCGCCTTACTACATCCCTTGTAGTTGGCGGGGTGGCCTTCTCCACAGAGGCAACACTTGGCGTTTCGTTGCCCTGTTGGCGGCGCTGGCAGACTGCAGCTGGTGCTGTTGTGGTCCTCTCCACACTTAACGCACCGTTCAGCGAGACGACAGTTCCGCTGTGTGTGCCCGTACCGCTGGCAGCGGTAACATTGGCTGGGCTCGGAAGACTTTTTCTTCCTCTCGAAGCTGACCGTGAGCATGGCCAGCCTCTGGATCTCTGCAAGCTTTTCCGGCATCTTCGTCTTGACGAGGAAGAGCGGAAGTGGCTTCTTTGTGGTCCTTGAGGTCATCTGCTGAACCTCGGCGTCTGCGATGCCTTGGCTCACTAGATCCTCTTTGATGTCATTGACTGACATCTCTCTGGGTAGCCCACGAATGACCCTCTGGTCCATCCTGTCCTCCTTCAGTGGATAGATGAAGAAGGGCCGCTTGATGGATTCCAGCAGTGCGACTAGCTGACGGTAGTCAGCTGGTGTATTTGTGAATACCTTCACACTGGTACCCGCCGTCCTCGCTTTGGAGAATTGAATCCCCTTGCTGTTCATCATCCTACTCAAGGATGACCAATCAGCGGTGCCCTCGATATTGATTGGCGGAACTTCTCGGCTTCTTCTACGTCGATATCTTGGGCATCCATGTCCAAGTTCTCCGTAGGCTGCTGGTCCTCGTCTCCCTGGTCCTCTCCTTCTTCTTCTTCCTCCGTCTTCTTCGCTTTCCTCTTCGCTTTGAGGAGCTTCCTTTTCACCTCATCGATCTCATTCCTCGCCTGCTCGAATGCTTCTTGCAGATTTTTCATCTGCTCAGCAAGCATTGCGAAGTTCTCCTCTTTCTGCTTTAGCTGGCTCGCCAGCTTTTCTATTCTCGCCATCGTGGATGGCGATCGTACCGTGATGAAAATCACAGTAGGATCGCACTGTAAGTCCGGGTTGGTCGCAGTCGCACAAGTGTATACTCGCGACGGCTGCTAGCTCGGAACTCGGTCAGAATCAGAAAAAGGCAACTATCATTTTGAGTGAAAATATACAAGGCGTGTCAAAAAATTACAACTCTATTGAATATTACTTATCTATAAAATAGACATGGCCTGAAAAACTTTATAGGTATTTGTGTATATGCTTTTTTTCTAAAAGATCATAAACAAGTTAAGAAGCGGTCAATTTATAGCGAGACACCACGTACATACTGTAGGCACTGAGATTGCAAAATAACATTACAAAATACTACACACATTTCAAAACTGTAAGTGTAGTAGTACTGATTAGCATAAAATTATACGCAAACATCTAGATACAGATCGGTGAATGTCCCTTTTGCAAATCCGCGCTCGTGACAGATGAAAAAAGCACGGTACGTCCACTACTAGGCGTTACAGCAGTACTTTACTCACATGACAGTGCTACTTGACATTCGACGGTCACAGCGACTGACCAAAGGCCAAGGCCTCCTACGCCCACAACCTATGAAAGCATTAGCGGCAGTTGTTCATTTGTTTTCATGGTACTATTTGTATATAATTAATGAAAGAGTTAAATATTTAGTTTCCCACCGGTATTACTGGCGCTGAGCATTCTGTCAGTATTGTTCATAGGAGATGCGTATCAAGTTGACCGGAGAGGTGTTGGGTTTTCTGTTGGTAATATCCCATGACACTATATTGAGCCAGTCAGACGTAGTAACTTCGATTGATCGATCTTTGCAAATCATATGAAATGCAGCTGATATGTCTTTTGAACCGGTACCTTATATGTAACTGGAAAAGACATGACGCACCGGATCGGCAGGTGACAGTAGGTGTCATATAGTTTGGATGTTATGAATCGTTTATGAATTTGAATGTCATATTAAGACTGACTGAGCCTGTAAAAGCGCCTCGAACGACAATTTCAATGCATTAGCCTCGCCAAAAAGTAAAAAACTCACTTACTTCATTGGCCATCTATGATAGTCTTTAGGTTAAGCCTCTAGCATTCAACTCCTCCTGAAGATAGTAATAACGAAACACGTGCCTGGTATTTAAAAAACCTGTTTGACGAGTAGTACACCCTGTCATAGAAAAAAATACTTACTTAGATACTTTTTTAAATCTACAAACTTTGTTCTTGAGCTTTTCCCAACTGTCTGTTTAGTAATATAATAATAAACGTATTCCACCTGAGTATGGTCAACTTTAAGCAGTATTTAGACGTTCAAAAAAGGATCTCAAAGTCACCAGAACTATATATGAGACATTAGCGGAGCACAAAAAATGGCGTCGTGTAGTTTGACCTTATACCTGCCGCGCACTCTAAATAACTTCAATGTCATCAACAATACGTTGGTTTTGTCCAAACAATTAGTACACCACTATTTGGACTTTTCGTGGAAAATAATTTCTTAAGATTGCAGCAACGTATACAGCAACTCCACTTTTGAAGCTCTGGTGTAAAAATGAAACATTGATAATTGATACATAATATGTATACTACATACATTATACTGTCTAATATTATTTTACGAGAGCGAGTAACCTCATTGAATAGATTTTGCTATATATGGCCCACCCCGTATGTGTATATTGCATTCACTAGCAAAAATGTCATATTTGCCACCCGTTGACTCATAAGTGCGACCGATAGGTAGTTGAAAGTCTTAAAGGCAAGTATACGGGGAACCTATGAGGTATGGAATACGCCTGATAGGTATGTAGAATAACCGAGGTTGGAAATGCATTAATATAGTAACATCAAAAAAATGAGATGCACCCTCCGCCACCGCCATTTTCCCTCACTTTCTTTTTAAAATGATCAGTACCCGTCAAGCAATTTTTAAGCGACTTTTATTTTTTTCGTTTTTGTGATGGCACCTCCTGTATGAATTTCATCCAAATCCGAGTAGTAAGACGGACCAAGGATTTGCTGATAGAACGACCGACAGGCCGATGGAAACGTATAATATATCATTTTCGAAATTTGTCGCGATTATGATAATCCCTTGCCAGTAGGCGTTGGAAGTAAAAATTAATTTAGAAATCCACTTTAAAAAGAGTTATAATGTTTGGTTCTGCTGTTGTCCCATAGATGTCGACGATATCTTTCAGATCTGTCTTTAGATGCTACATTATATGGTTGATTATCTTCCTTAATCAATGCTTTAACTTGAGAAACAAAAGCAATAAATATGAATCTCTTATCCTAGCGCCTGCTATGAGCTTTTCAATTATTCGGATCTTTTGGGATACAAATATAAAGCATCTTTCCACTTCCTATGTCAAAACTGGCGACGAAGTATTGTAATCATAAAAAAATTCGAAATTGAGATATTATGTTTTTTGGATATTTCTTTTTTTTTAATTTTAATTTTAATTTTGTTAATACGATTTTTGAACTGGTTGGTAGAACTGGGAAAAGCTTCCACCCGTAGATTGTTCCACAATCTAGACACCCTCGGGACAAAGGAGCGGTCGTATCGGCCAGTTCTGGATGTACGAAGTTTGACACGGTTAGGATGGGACGCCGAAGTCAGGCGGGTCTGTCTGGCAGGCACATCGCGCGGCGGCAGCATGGAAGAGAGCTCTGAGGAGCAAAGCCCGTTGTTGTAGTGATAGAAAAGAGCTAGATCGCCGACAACCCACCGGTGCGAAAGAGTCCCGAGACTGTCTGTTAGAGAAGAGTCATCGATCAGTCAGACCGCCTTTCTCTGCACAGCATCGAGCATGGACAATGTAGTCGGGGCGGCAGCACCCCAAATGTGTGAGCAATACTCGAGGCTAGGCCTTATCTGGGCCTTGTATAGAGTGAGAAGGTCATGCGGAGAAAATTACTTCTTAGCCCTAAACAAATAGCCTAGCTTTTTCCCAGCAGCTGCAGCTATTGAAGAGATGTGTTCGGGCCAGATCAGGTCCTCGGTGATCTGGACTCCGACCAGCCGAATTGAATGGCTCTTTGGTAGACCTCGACCGTCCATCGAAACTGTATGAGCGCTAGGACGCTTTTTGTTCGTCAAAGTACAGTACTGTGTTTTGGAAGCATTGAACTGTACAAGATTGTTGCGTCCCCAAGCAGTGATAGCCTCCAGGTCTCTTGTCAGAGAAGAAGTCGTCGCTAGTCTTCTTTTTTCCAGCTCAGCGGCAGAGATCGGCTTGTCACTCTGAATTCCTGCAGGTAGAGTGCTGTCGTCAGCGAAGCTGTGGATTGGGTTGATCGTTGCAGGAAAGGAGGTCGTTGATATGTAAGAGAAACAGTGTCGGAGCCAAGACCGATCCCTGGGGAACACCCGCGTTGACGTTGTGGGATGAAGAGGAGAATCCGTCAATTACGACGGATATCTTGCGGCCAGAGATAAAGTCAGCCACCCATCTGCAAAGCTTTTCTGGGAGGCCGTAGGATGGAAGTTTGCTTAAGAGGGCAGCGTGCCACAGCTGATCGAACGCTTTCGTGATGTCAAGAGCAACGACATGAGCCTCACCATGAGACTGGATGAGTGTACTCCACAGTTGCGTGACGTAAGCTAGGAGGTCCCCTGTGGATCGTTGGCGCCGGAAACCGTACTGCCTGTCGCTAATCAAGGTGTGACGTTCGAGGTAGTCCAGAAGCTCGCGATTTATGCACCTCTCCATCACTTTACTTATAACAGAAAGCAGAGCTATAGGCCTGTAGTTGTAAGGGTCGGTCTTAGATCCTTTTTTTGGGATGGGCTGTACATGAGTAAATTTCCAGTTTTCTGGGAAGGTGCCGGATTCATAAGATATCTGGAAGAGACGCGAAAGAACTGGAGCAAGCTCCGCTGCACATCTCTTCAGTACAATGGCAGGAATCAAGTCCGGACCAGAAGCTTTGTTGATGTCGAGCGACAAGAGCACTCGTCTTACGGTCTTATGCCTGAATGTTACCTCCCGCATAGTGTGGGGAACCCTTTGAATTGACGGCACTTGGGCGTTGGTGGGGACGTCCATGGTGGAGTTGGCAGCAAAGATCTTGGCTAGCACTTCCGCCTTGGCCTTTGAGTCGAATACAATAGTTCCCTCCTGACACGTAAGTGGTGGAAGGCTACTGTGTGAGAAGTTCTTTTCAATCTGCTTGGCCAGCGTCCAGAAAGACCGACTGCCAATGCGCTGCGACATTACCCTGTGCCTAACTTTTATATCATGCTGGTTTTTGGCATTGCGAACCGCTTCGTTATATTTGTTTCTGGACTCGACGTCGGATTGTCTGTTCTCTACAGTGGAGTTTTGTAAGTAGGTTCTGTGGGCCTTGATCTTCTGCTGGCGAGCAGTGTCACATGATTTGTTGAACCAGCCGTTGGACCCTGGTTCAGGAACTTTCACTGTGTGAGGGATGTATTCCTCCATTCCGACGTGGATAATTTCGGTTATTAAAGAACAGACAGTCGACGCATCCGCGTCAGTGAAACAGACATCTCTCCAAGGAAAGCTAGAGAAGAAGTCTCTGAGCCCCTCCCAGTTGGCATGTCCGTAATGCCAAGTTTTGCGGCCTGTGCGAGTTTCTGCTGCCACAGCGGCTTCTGACCGAAACCTAACCTCCACAACACCGTGATCTGAGTTACCCAGGGG